AAATATTTTAAAATTTCAAAAGGTTTGTTCCAGTTTTAAATGTCATTTCGGTGCATCTCTAATTTAAAAATGTTGTAATTACCTTGCAATGATTGTCCCTGTTCAGGTACTTTATGGGGTGACATCTCTCATTTATGCTCCTGCTCTGTCACCCCTTCTTGACGTCCTGGTGGGAGCTGCCGTTAGCTAGACTGACACATAGCACAGTCCACCATTTGTGTTGAAGCTAGTCCAGAGCAATGATGATGAAAAAGGGGCATTGTTTGTGATACACAGTCCTTTAGAAATTAGAAATATAAAAGTGTGGTCAGGGGGAGTACTGTGATCTCTTTGAGAATGAATAAATACCTGCAAGTATTACAGCAAAGAGAACTTTGTTTTCTTGAAATTGACGCAAAACAACATATCCAAATCTAAATTCAGCTTTGCAATGTTGAAGTACCTTTTGTTAGCTGTGGTTTCTTCCAAACACATCCAGCAATATACCCGAGAAACTCACCATTTTTTCAAACAAAAAGAAAGAACTGCGCTCCATAGATCCAGCAAACTCTGTTTATTAGTGTCCTTGCATCACGCTATCATCCCCCGTCCTTCAGCCACCCGCATCTAACGGGGTTTCACCAGTTGGGGCTTAATCTTAAATCACAGTTTCCTTCTTTTTGACATCCATCTTTTCTGCCTTCCCGGGACCAGATACTTTTGCCTGCTCATTCTCTTCAGGGGAACTGGTCCCCTCACCAACCCTTTTGTAATCTACTGCACTGAGACATCAACATAAACATGTTGTGATGCTTCTATTTGCAGCCTGCTTTCTCTGTTCTAGCTCTCCTGATACCACCTTATACTAAGAGCTCATATAGTGTAATATTTATTGGTCCTGCCTTGCATATAAGTGGCCATGGGTTGAAGACTGGGCAGTGTCTCCTTTTTGTGTAAGCTTAGCTTTCATGAGAATTAAAAAACATTATTTTTTATTATTTAAAATGCTTTTTAACATCATCTTTTCAACTCTTCTGAACATGCTTGGACCTGTCATATTAACCACTAACGCTATTTAAGGACCATTGTATAAAGGACGAAAGAGTGGTAATTATTACACGACATGTGCAGGAAGATAGAAATGTTCATTTTTAAATATAACATTTTATTGATATAAAAGGGACAAATGTAATAATGAAGTAAGGCTCAACATGTTAGAACTTTGAAACAGCAATGGACTACCTTGAAACCCCTGACCTTCTGTATATTGATCAGGAGCACTAACCATTACATCACACATGGCACAAAAAAGAAAAACTGGTAGCAGTCGGGCCTTCCCATGTTTTTGTCTCCACCCACTGCTCCACCCAGAATGCCTCCTACAACTCTGCCTGCAGAGAGATAATGCAGGACAGGAGTTCTGAGACATGTGCTAGGAAAAGCGCAGGAAATAATGTTGCACAGACCTGGCCACCATGTACGAGGTGTGATTAAAACAAACTACAGTGAATGTTTAAAAAAATGTCATTACAGTAAACGACGCATCGCCCTTAATTATAATGTTGCACAGACCTGGCCACCATGTACGAGGTGTGATTTAAAACAAACTACAGTGAATGTTTAAAAAAATAATGTCATTACAGTAAACGACGCATCGCCCTTAATGCCCCTCCAAAATACTCCCCCTCGCTTCGAACACACTTATCCTATTGTTCTTGCCACTTTCGGAAGCAGTTCTGGAAGTCCTTTTGCGGCTGCCTCGATGTCCTGGTGAAGAAGGTGGAGGAGGACACACCGTAATATTTTTATTTGACTGAAATTGATGTACCAGAAGCGATGTGTGACACTGAGCGTTGTCATAATGGAAGATAAAACCATTTGCCCATTTCTCAGGCCGTTTTCTACGCACATCGCCGATGTTCACATCCTCAGGAATTTCCCCAATATGGTAGCCAATCGCCTGTTTGATGGAATTATTTTGCTTACGGTCCACATTCTCTTGGGTTTTTGATGTTGAAGGGCGTCCCGATCCCTTTTCGTCTTCAACCATTACGAAATTGCGCAAACTACTTGTAAACTGTCTTCATACCTGCAGTATCACCATAAACTAATTGTAACATTTCGGGTGCTTCTTTAGCACCTTTTTCAGTTTTGAAAAAAAAAGTCTTGTTATGCGTTGTTCGCAATCCTTGATTTACGGCACACTTTAAAACACACCTTCTTTAAAACCGTAGCTCACATCCAGCTGACTACACGAATACGTTGAAACTTGTCGTACACTGGTACTAAAGTCGACGTGCAGATTCTTGTATTGAAGAACCCTGCCCTTCCGTTAAGTGGCACACAGCATTCACCATATTTTTCTATCACCGCTCGTATAACTAAGAAACATCTGTTTCCAGGTTGACATCAGAGGTAGTATTAGCTTTGCTCGTTTCTACCCATTCACTTTTATAATGCCAGAATTATGCCGCCCCCCCAGTTGTCTGGGTCTTACTTGGGTCCTTTGGGAACCCAGGATGCCCAAATAAATTTTCAGAATGGCGAGTGTAAACAGATGGAGAAACATCTCCTCTGCAATAAATGAACTGAACTGAGCACTTCAGGCTTGTCAGATCCTGGTAATGTGGCTGGAAAACAGCTGATTGAGTACAGTTTGCACTCGATCTGCTTGATTGAAGATCAGAGGAGGCAGTAGGACCTCATAGACCCCCAATGACTCCACAAAGAGGACCTTTTACCAAAACATTTACTGTCACATAGGGGGCTTGTCAGCCCTCTTGTAATAGTAATAAAGTTAGAAAAAAATAATAAATGTAAAAAAACATGTAAAGCCTCTGCATGGATGCACATATGATTGCAAATGCACATGTAGGGCGCACATGCATAGGTAAGCAACGATTAATAAATATTAGGTATCTCCATGAGAAGAATATTCTAGGGCCATTATTAATGGTTAACTCTAAAGTGATGAGCTGTAAAGGTTTTTAAAGTGTCGCCTATGTCATTTTGGGGTATTGTAGTTTGTCAGCATTTTGCAGCCTATGCCCAATTTTAAGTCTTGATATCTTTGGTATCTATGTACTCGAGTCAGTCTCCTCTTTTATAATTTTACGGAACATTTGGAGATTTTATCGTGCATGTGTGCGTTAAAATTATTTTAAATGCATCGTGAGACATAAAAGATTCAAACTTTGTGCCAGACCCGGAACTATATGCATTCAGAACACGCTTCTAAACTTTGGCAGTAAAATGGTTAAACATATTGGCAGGAATTAAGCCAGATTGCTCCTCAAATGTATCTACAGTATAAGCTTTATGGCTGATTTACACCTTTTTGTGTTTTAGGTGCATTGTGTGCGTGTTGTATTATACATGTGCTACCATAGAACTATATGTCATGCATGTTTTGAAACCACATCAAAGATGCTGCATCACAACTAAAGCGCAGTGGTGTGAATGGACGCTTACACCTGAAGGAGAATTATGAGACGAGTGATTTTCACTCAGCCTCATAATCTGAGCCGACCTGTGACAATGAAGCTGTCACAGGTCGGCTCAGTCGATCGTGAAGTGAGCTTGGTCACTTCTTGATCTATCCCTGCAGAGAGCCGTGACTGTCACTCACGTCTCCCTGCAGGGATTTCCCCACCCAGCGCTGACTGGCGGAATGGACGGAGGTGAGGGCGGGCATACCTCTAGATAGGCAGAACCAGCTGTCACTCAGGCAGCTGGGTGGATCCAGATAGCATTGTCGGGATCCGTTCCGGCTGCGGCGTCTCAGTATACCGTGAGTACTCGCGGTGTACGGAGCTTTGGGTCACGGTAGAACGCTAGTTTGTGTTCTCCCGTGACCCTTAGGAGAACTATGGAGAAGAGCACTGACCCCATAGTTCTCCTTTTTGAAGTAGCTGTTTTCAGGGTTTACAGCCCAACTCCAGGGAAATGTAAAGTTTTTCTTTGTACTCCGAGGGTTTAACTTCTAGTTTATTTCTAACCTATTCCTCTACCTGATCCCCACTTCCACTGGCTCTCTCTAGGCTGCTAGACTAGTCCCCTCAGCTTCTTCTCCCCAGTGGTCTAAGGACCTCTGACCTCATCAAGTACAACGCAGTCTCCATAGCCCTGCATTGTATATGAGGACACTGAGGGACAATCCACAGCTGGGTAGAAAAAGGAGTGTGGGTATCAGGTAAGTAAAACTGCTTTTTCCTCTATTGACTAGGCAGTAATGAGCACTTAACCTTTGCAGTGTGAAGGCAGCCCAACTGGAAAGGAAAACGTATAATTTTCCTGGAGTTGAACTTTAACAGTCTTGAAGTCATGAGATTTCTGGCTCCCTATTCTAACTAGTTCTCCTTTATGTTTTCTTCTGCAGTGACCCAGCAATGAAACAGTTCCTCTTATACTTGGATGAAACCAACGCTTTAGGATCCAAGTTCATTATCCAGGACCTTGATGACACGCACGTGTTTATTTTAGCTGAACTGGTCACTATCCTTCAGGAGAAGGTTGGAGAATTGATGGACCAGAACTCATTTCCCATGACGCAGAAGTAAAATGTATCCAAGAACACATGTGAATTTCATAATGTGTGTATAATACATTTTCAGTTTGCTTTCATTTATTCTCTGCATGTACAGAGCGACATATTTGTTTATTTATAGTAACGTGTTTTCAGAAAACTAACATGATTTGTTTTCTTATCCTATTTGAAAAGTTGTAAGCTGCTAATAAAACATTAATACCTATCAGTGCTGCTTTCATTTTATTGTTTGCCAACTTTTGCCTTTCATTTTGTGTAATATGATACGAAACGAAGGTGTAACATGTTCCTTGGATGGAAGTGATATATTGGGATGTTTATGGATATTGCTTTCTGACAAGTAAACACTTTAGGGAACTTAGCAGGCTTTAGCATGTACAAATGCAATAATGTGATTGTCACTCATCCTGACTCCTCAGCTGGATTGTGCTTTTAGTCATTCTTAATTTTTCCAGCCCAGTGCTTTTTATGCCTGCACAGTGCAGAAATCATCATTGTGAGCTTCTTCAATCATGTTTTTTTTTAGTTTGGAGTTAGATCGAGCATGGCTGATCTGGCTGCATTTTAATTTCTATTGTTACTCAGTTCTAGTAGCTTTGATTGGAGGAAAGTAAATAAACAATTTATCTATGGTTTTTTAATTCTGTAATTGTAATTATTGACAATTGCAGAGTTCTAATATATATAGTGCAATTGTATTTGTAGATGAGATTGTTTGTTTGTTTTTTCTTTTCATGTACCAAAATCTAATACTTTTCTGAGACTGATTTAATGATGTTATTTAATAAAGCAGCCATTTCACTTTTCGGCCTGTCTCTAAGGTAGTGGAAGCAGAACCCCTTTGTTTACCCTTCTAAGGCCAAGGCTTAATTGTTGGCCTTATCTTCCCCCCCCCATTAAGGATCTATGTAAAGGTATTGGTGCGACATGAAAATATGGACACCTAAATTTATGTACTGCTTCTGGGATTGCCATGACTTCAGAGGTTTAGTTTAGGAAAACCATACATAAAATAAATGTTATGCTTGTTGGAAATCTATTTGCATATCGCATGTGGCATTGGGGCTTAAAGCTGACCTCCAAGCAACCGCTAAATGCACAGATGACATATAGGGATCTGTTTTACCTGCCAGATGATTTGTATTCTGTCCATTCAGTTCTTAGATTGATGCCACTCTGCCATACAGCACAGCCCGGTCTGACACAGGAGAGTACCTGATTTTTTCTATGCAGCAGTTACTTAACTGCTGCAGGTCTGCTCCCCACCCTATGACTTGAAAGTAGCAAAACAAACTTTTCAAGTAAATGAAGAAGCATTTGACGGATGAGCTGATCTCTGTCACTCTGCTCTCTTCTCTTATCAGCATGTTTCTTGCACTGCAGAACCTCTTATTAGTGTCTTGTGTCAATTTTTCCCTCCCCAACTATGATCTCTTTTGTAGAGGGACTGCAAGAAGTTTATATCAAGTCAAATGCAGATACTTACACTGCTTGCATGTAAAATAATACATTTAAGGATGTATTCGTGAATAATGAGCTTAATTACTGTGTGTCTTTAATATCTGCCTGCAGTTCAGCTTTAAAATAAACCTATCGTGCCATACCCTTGCTTAATCCATCACTGTAAGCACAGAGCAAGCATCTCCAGGACTGTATGTTCAGTCCTTCATTGTAATCAACCATATGTCAACCATATGTCCATAATGTTTAGGTGCTCTAATATACACTTCCTGAGTCAAGAACCTGCTCCCACCCTTCCTGTTTCCTAGGTCTCACTTAGCCAGAGACACCGCCAGTCACAGTTTTGGGCCAATACTAGAGCTTAGCAGATGAGAAGGGTTAAGGTCTGGCCCTCTTCCCAGGAAGTTAGTGTATTCCATGCACCAAGAGTGCATATAATAAAGAATGCTGGACATGCATGCCTTGAATTTTGGCTGATTCCTGACAAATCATCTGAAATTTGAGCTGCGAGTGACCCTGTCGGCAAACACCCAGCTTGACTAAATTCGCTTTCAAAATCCAAAAAGCCGGGTGGAAATTTTTGGATGAACAGTGACTGCATCTATTAAGATGCTGTCACTGTTCCCATAATCAGACAGCCATGGGTGGTAGTTGTCTGAATACAATAGCCGCCAGGTGGAGATTCCTTCATCCACTTATTTAGCATGGATAGGGGAATCTATTGATTTCTCTCATTCGCCTTGAAGGACCTGAGCTCCACAACATGCTGACAGTATACAGTGCAGTACTAGGTGCCTACACTTTATACTGGCAAAACAAATGGCAAACGCACTCATCAATTTGTCACCAGCTTTACAGCAAGGTGCACATGGAAGTGCTTTATACAGTACAACAGCAAAAAGTTTCCAAGCACACTCACCAGCCAGCATGCAAAAAAACTTGTCTCACCGCTAAGGTTAAAAACAGGGGTTTAGATTCAAGCCGCACTGCCTCGTCAAGGCACCGCCTATATAGTGCGGTCCTAACTCTAACCTATGAGAGTCTCCATCTTGGAGCACATGTAGCAAAAGATAAAATTGGGAGGGTGGTTTGTCAGGAGGAAGCCCAACCTCCATAAAGGTACAGATACGCACAAGGGACCCCGCACATCACAACGGCAGCTGAGACCCCTAGTGTGTCACTGCACCAAATCAGTCAAACAAAACAAATGGCAAACGCACTCATCAATGCTCATGTTTTGCTTGACTGATTTGGTGCAGTGACGCATGGTTGGGTCTCAGCTGCCGTTGTGATGTGCGGGGTCCCTTGTGCCTTTAAGGGAGGTTGGGCTTCCTCCTGACAAACCTGCACCCAATTTTATCTTTTGCTACATGTGCTCCAAGTTGGAGACTCTCGTAGGTTAGAGTTAGGACCGCACTTTATAGAGGTGCCTTGGCGAGGCAGTGCGGCTTTTCATATGTGCTGCAGAAGACGTGTATCTAAACCTCTGTTTTTAACCTTAGCGGTGAGACAATTTTTTTTGCATGCTGTCTGATGAGTGTGCTGGGAAACTTTTTGCTGTTAGACTTTATACTAAACACCAGTCCTTTCTGACAGCTGGAACTCTGATACTTACTGCTAATGTCAAAGCTTTTCTTTTCACTCAATGAAAACTTCCTTACTTTGGTGTTTCCCTATAATGGGCTTTCTCCCTGGTCAACAGGCATGTGCAGGGGGCTTTTACCCGTTAGCATAGTCTGGTGTTTGGGCATAACAGTTGGGATTACATGGAGCGGAATTCCTTGGTTTTAATATAGATCACTATATTCTCATGTGTAGTTTACTCATTTGTATTGAGATTGTAGTCAATCATGTAGAGAACTTGAAGCAGTGGCTACTTTACAGCACACAGGGACCATGGGGAACAAAAATAGCCACCCTCCAGAAGGAAGGACAGTGTCAGCACCAAGTCAGGGATGATTGGAGGATCTACAACTGATGATACACACATAAGATACATTTTTGTTACTAGTTAAGATACTTGAATGTATTTTTTAAGATTTACCTCCTGAGTTTGGTGTCACTTTAATCCCTTGTCGGTTGGCTCAGTCAGACAAAGTGTATCTTAAAGCAGAGCTTGATGTGATGTCTTTTTAGCTAACTGCTAATGCTCTGGGAATCCTTTTTCATGTAGTAAATGTTTATTTGTTAAACGATTGCAGGAGCAGCTCATGGTGACTTGCTGTCCTACAATTTTATAGAGCTCTCTGCTGTGTTAAGCAGAGAACTCCATGGTGTGCAACAATTGTTTTACCCTTTGGATAACATTGCTGTATGTTAACACTCATCAATACAAATATGGTTTTATAAAAAGAAAAAGAGCAGACACAGGAAAGCTAGACCAAACTCACTTATGCTAATTCATGCTCCACATATTACAGTACACTTTCAGAGCTTGCCTATGTTTTAAAATTGCTTTCATTTCCCCCCATCCCTAAATTGCATAAGAGGAAAATTGATCAGTGGTTCTGGAGAGAGAAAAAAATCTCTCATTGTATGCAGCCCTATGGTATGCAGTCATTTTGCTTTTGATTTCTGCCGATCACACAGTATAATAAATTACCCCCGGAGAAATATCAGCCCTAATCGAGAAAATCTCATTTTAAATGCATTAGGTACCGGAGGATATTTGTGACCTATAAACAAAAGCTTTCAAAGTGGGATTCAATCAAATAAAACTTTGTTACCTTGCCTGCATTTTCAGCTGAATTTTCTAATTAGCATATGAAAATAAAATGGTCTTTGACAGTTTAAATATCAGTATATATCTTTTCTTTGTGTTTTTTTTTTCATCTTAGAGCTGTGTAGTACTCTTTGCATCTTCTAGCTGTACCAAGTCTTGATGCTATATAGTAATGTATTGAATAGAAACACACATAGCATTAGAATAATGATGCTAACGTTGTTTATAATCGTACAGTTGTTTTTATGACTATATTGATGTTGACAAATGATATTCACAAAATGAGAGAGAGGTTTCCTGATTTCTGATGATACTTTCCGTAACCCTTTACATAAATTATCATTTGAACAAGGCATGACATAAGCCAATTTTTCCAGAAATTCTGTGATAGTATAATAAATGTTCAGTGCAATGAAAGAAGGTTACAGCACCCTAGGCCAGTCGTAGTCAACTTACAAGGAATAAGAGTCCTCAACTACGGCCCTGATGTTGCCAAGGGGCTACACGTACTTTATTATCATATTATTCAGTGTATATATTACTACCGAAGGCTGGTGGAAACTGCAGACATATTAAAGGAGAAGGTCACATAGTGTGGACCTGGTATAGGTAAAAGCAGGGATTGCCAAACTGCGGCACTGCAGCTTTGGTGGAACTAGGAATCCCATGAGGCTTTGCAAGATTCTCACAGCCACAGACATGACTCCTGGAGAGAGATGCTTCATGGGATTTGTTGTTTAACCACAGCTGGAGGGCCGTAGTTTGGCCATCCCTGGGTTAAAGGCTGAAGAACTGCTACAGGAAGCAGTCCAAGAGACTGGGCACAAGGCATATGAGACTTCTAGAGAACTCTGACATAACAA